CTTATCAACCCTAAAGTTAGAAGTAGAAGCAGATAAAAATGCAACATCAGGACTCCACCAGGGCTTCCCCACGACCTTATGACTTTGGGAAAATAGCTTTTATTCCCAGCACTGGAGGTGTGAGCAAAGCTTCTTTTTTTTAAATGCCTGCTTATCAAAGCCCCACAATTTGTGCCCAGACTTTTCAAATCATTCCCATGGCACTGCTAAACCTACAGTAATAATACACATAGTAAATTGCACAGAATTACTTCTACTCTTTTGGATGATGTTACTTTCCCCATCATTTCTAACTTCCTCCATCAGAAGGTTCTAGAGACACACAACAGCCATATGACTGCCAGCACGCAGCCAAACTCCAGTGATAATGAGTTTGCTTGTACGATCAGGTTTCCCTCAAAACAAGTTTTATCACTTGTCACAATGCTGTTTACAAGCACAGGGTCCTCATTGTTACCGTTCCCATACCTCCAGTTAATGCCAAATGAAGACTGCGGAGAGTCAAAATAGTTTATCTATCAATAGCATTTACACAGAAAATGTGTTTCCAGGAACGCCATCATCACTGCCATACACTTCAGAAGAAGCCCTTTTCATTCAGGCAGCAACACTGCTGTCATCACATTAATGAAAAACAACCTGCAGAACCCAAATAAAAATAGTAGAATTTTGTGTTTAAACTAAAGGTGCATATTTTATGTCCAATTAAGACAACAGACTAAATCAATGTTATATAAGCTTACTTAGTTAATATTTTTTTTACAACAAACTATTCTGAACCCAAACCCTAAAACAAAAATGTTCACATATTTATAACCAAGACATTATTTATGAATTGATTTTCCAATTGAGGACATCCCCAAAGGGACAATTTGCCAACTTTAGCTTATTTCTGGTGACAAATTTGTCCCCAACCTATAACCAAGTAGATTCCCCACACACACACTTCACTGGCAGTATTTCTTGTGTAACAGTGTGTGCATTGGACAGAGGTCAAGGGAGAGCTTTCATCAACATTGCAAACAGGCTAACACACACTATAAATATTAGTAATCTCTCAACACTCAACTTCTCTCTCTCTTTCTTTTTTTATCTGCTCCTCAGCTTCATCCTTTGCTATATTACCTTATGTGACCCACATTTGGATCGTAGACACACAATACTAAAGGGAAAAAAAACCCTATAGAAGACTCCTCATCCCTCCTTCAGAAATTCAATAATGAGCAGAACAAGACATGGAAGGAAAGTTGTGGAGCTGTGGAGAGCAAGCATGAACGAAAGCAAGAATGAACAAGAAAGAAGTAAAACTAAAGTCAAGCAAGAACACACACACACACACACACACACAAAACAAGAAACAGCAAAAGGAACAAACAAAAAGCTAGAACAAACTTTTGCAAGCAAGATTTTTTTTTAAAATCAAAGAACAAACTAAAGCAAGCAAAGCTGAACAAAAGCAAGAACAATTTTTTTGGAAGCAAGAATAAACGAAAAAGCACAGATGAACTCAAACAAACAAAATCAGAGAGGATTAGAGGAACAAAAGAAACCAAGCAATCTTGAACAAAAGCAAGAACAAATGAAAGCAAACAAAAGTGACTGAAATCAAATAAAATCAAAAGTCAGACAAGAAACAACTAAATCAAGCAAAATCAAACAAAAGAAACATACAAAAGCAAGAACAACCATACGGAATCAAGAATAAATGAAAGTAATCAAGAATGAAAACAAGAAAAAACTATATGCAAACAAAATCAAGGAAAGACAAAAACAAGCAAAGATAAACAAAAGCAATCAAGAAGGTAATAGTGAAAGAAAACAAAAACAAACAAAAGAAAAAGAAACAGAAGAAAGA